CGCGCGTAGAGACAGGCACCTCCCCCTCCTCCAAGGCCTCACCAACCCTCTCCGACAGCGGAGCCGCCTCGAAGGCATCCCGGCCCGCCGCCGCCGCCGCCGCCGCCGCGCGAGCCCGCCCGCTCTCCTCGTGGCTCGCCAGCGCAGACTCGTCCTGTGTGTGTGTGGAGGGGGGGGGAGGGGGCTTGGAGGCGTGATCTCGAGATCGATCTCGGGTGATCTCGGGTGATCTCGGGTGGATGAGCGATCTCGAGCGGATCTCGGGCGGATCTCGGGCGATCTCGAGCGGATCTCGGGTGTGATCTCGAGCGCGATGGCGATCTCGAGCGATCTCGAGCGAACGATAGCGATCTCGAGCGATCTCGAGCGATCTCGAGCTCGGTCGGACCTGCGAGCGGCTGAGCGACGCTTAATTAACCTTAATTAAAGGGCTAATGAAGGGCTAATGAAGGGTCCTGCGAGCGGCTGAGCGACGCCGAGACGTCGCTCATGTACTCGCCCAGGAACTGCTGCACCGAATCGCCGTCCGTGCGGCCTGATCGACCAATACCAACCAACCAGTGCTTAATAACTATGGCTGCCGCTCCCCGAGGAGAGGCCGCGTGCCGCCTGATGTGGCGCCGCCCCCGGCCGCGCCCCTCCGGCGCACGAGCAGCGAGAAGTCCGCCTGCCGCAGGCACTTGTGAATGATTAATTCGGATGAGCTAATTAATATCACGAGCAGCGAGAAGTCCGCCTGCCGCAGGCACGTGTTAGTTATTAATTATGATCTGCCACACTCCCTCCGACACGCATCACGGGCGGCGGAGAAGTCATCTTCCTTGCTCGGCGGCAGGAGCGAGAAGATGCCGCTGCTCGAGCCAACCACCTCCTCCCCGTCCACCTCGAGGATGTCGTCGCCTAATCTCGGCGCATCTCGGCGCATCTCGGCGCATCTCGGCGCATCTCGGCGCATCTCGGCGCATCTCGGCGCATCTCGGCGCATCTCCTCACCTCCTCACCTCCTCACCACCATCCCCGGCTGTCGCTAAACGGACTCGTTGCTGACTGACTATATAGCGCTACTAGGGCTGACTCTGCCGGCGGGAGGGTCACTATTAATTATCAATCATGGACATCTGACGCCGCTAGGGCTGTGAGGCCTGCGGCGAGGCCGGCGGAGGCGGCGGCGCCCCCCGGCATCACGGAGACGATCTGTCCGCCCTTGAGCGCCTGTAGTTCAGTGATGACTCATTGCAGAAGGCATGACTGTTGAAGCAGGACGATCTGTCCACCCTCCGGAGCGCCTGTAGTTCAGTGATGACTCATTGTAGTCATGAAACTGTTTGAAGCAGAACGATCTGTCCACCCTCTGGAGCGCCTTGATGCCGAGCGAGCCCGCACCGTCCCTCGACAGCTCGACGCAGAGCAGCTCCTACAGCGAGCCACCCACGGACGCCTCGCCGCCAGTGTGTCCAGCAGCCCCGTAGTCTCAGACAGCAGCTCGGCATGTGTGTCTGCAGCGCGCCTCCTCGAGCCCGCCCTCTGCCCCCTCTGCCCCCTCTGCCTTGGCCTCCGTGGCGGGCGACGCGGACTTGGAGGAGGCGGCGCGGCGCCGCACGACGGTGAGACTGCGGGAGGGCCTCGACCGGTCGGAGAGCGCGTGCAGCAGCGTCGTCGCCCCTCCCTCGCCGACCGCGACCCCGTCCACCTCCGCCACCACATCCCCAGCACGGAGGCCGGCCATGGCGGCGGGCGTGTCCGGTGCCACTGTGAGCACCTCGTTGGCGTCGACGCGCATGCCCGCCCGCTCGCCCGCCTTGAGGCTCAGGCTCAGGAGCAGCCTCTCGAAGCCGCCCTCGCCGTTCCCCTCCTCGCCCGCCTCGGCCTCGCTCGCCGGCTGCTCGTCGGACGTCCGGCGGCGCGACGGCTTGGCGCGGCGGCCTCCTCCGCCGCGCCGCACGCGCAGGAGCGGCGCCGATGTGGTGCGGTCGGCGAGGGCCGCCTGCACGCCGCGCTCCGCCGTGAGCGAGAGCCCCTCCACCTGCTCGATCAGGTCGTTTGGCATGAGGCCTGCCAGCGCCGCGGGAGAGCCAGAGGCGACCGAGATGACGCGGTTCTTGCGGTCGACGCGGAGGCCGACCTTGGTGAACTCGGGGATCTCGAGGCGAAGGTGGAGGCAGAGGGAGTCGCTCATGGTAGCGAGATACGAGCCAGTAGGTGTCCCAGCGGCTCTACCTGCCCCGAACAGTGTCTTCAGCAGCGCCGTTGAAAAGAAATTTCAAGCGGCCGGAATACGACACTAAAAGAATTTCAAACCCTCCTCTCTCGTTGAAAAGAAAGGGGCGTCTGTTTTCTTTCTTTCTTTCTTTAAGAAAGGGCTCCTCGTTGTATTATTAACAACGAAGGCGCTCTCAAAAAAACAATAGAACATGTTGTGATGCTCGGTTTGAGTGGCAGGATGGCGGCTATGCGAGCGAGCAGTGTTCCTGAGGACCTCTGTGGTTGAGGACCTCGCCTCTCCTCCCTTGAGGACCTCTCCCTCGTGCCTGTGAGGACCTGCTCTGACTGTGGAGGACCTCTCCCGTGAGGACCTCTGTGGTTGATCACCTCTATTTTTGTACCACACTCACGAGGAGCGTGCTGGCGCACCTGGCTTGCTTCGCGAGGTGCAGCACAGTGCACAGGAGGGTACTAACTAAGCCCCCCCCCCCCCCCCCCCGGCACTCAGCTTGCACTTCAGTACGTCAAGCAAGCATGATTTAAGATAATATCAAGTCGAAAGGTATGTGCGTGCGGATATGATGCACCGCCGTTAGAGTCAGGAATGTGCAATCTGAGTCAGGTCGGGTCAAATGGTATGTGCAATGTACGTCTCCTCTTGGTATGTGTATATACTCACTCACACGCCGTTTATTTATTTATTTATTTATCGACACAGTTTATGCGCAGAGCTGCGTGGACTTCAAGCAGGCGGCGTAAACTGCTGACTGCCAGCGGGGCGGATTCAGAAATGTCCTCGCTCAGGACGGGGCGACCGTAAAATCTCTTGCGTTTCGGCGGTAGTGATCTAATCACCCGAGCTCGGATCGCTTCTCGTCGCAAACTCCGTCAGCAGTGCTCCCTCCTCCGGGAATGTACGTAAGAGCTACATACACTGAGAGAGAGGCGTAGGGCCCTTAGGGGCCTAGAGAACACAACCCCCTCTCTCTTTTCTCCCAGTAAGCTAAAAGTACGTACACTGAAAATGTAAGAGCTACATACACTGAAAATGTCACCCTGAACATGCAGTCGTGAAACGTGATCTGTCGGGAGGATTGATCGTGCGTCCCACCTTCCTCTGCGCTCTGCACAGCGATCGACACGGACAGAAGTCTTTTACGGCCGACATGAACGAGGGCGAGCTCGCCTCCTTGGTGCGTGGCGCCCTTCAACTCCCGCCAGGAGCGGCCGATGTGGCCGAGGTGAGCGAAAATGGCTCCGGCAAGACCTACCGGGTCTGTGCGGGCGGCACGACTGTGGCCCTCCGGCTGACCCCGCCTGATGAGCGCGACTGCTTCTTCACACGCCGAATGCAAGCTGCAGCGAGGGCGTTCGCCGGCGCCGGCCTCGGCCCACGGCCCATTGCTGAGGGCGATGGCCCCAATGGTGGCGGGTGGTGGGTGGAGGAGTGGGGCGGCTCGCGGTCTTTGCCTTGGACCTCGAGAGAGGAATACGCTGCTATGGGCCGGCTGCTCGCTAGGATGCATGCGGTGCCGACAGAGTGGTTCGATGCCAGTCGCGCCGAGGCGGCACGGCGGTGGCCGCTGCTTGAGCGCGTGACGGCGGGGAGCCATGCCTGGGTGGGTCTTGCGTGGGGCCTATGGGAGGTGCGAGAGCATGTCTGTCGCAGCCCAATGGCTCGTCCTATCATCCATGGCGTGTGCCACAGGCCTCCGCCGATGAGCTCGCCGAATCGGGCGATCCAGAGGACGTGGCGATTGGCCGCGCGCTCGCCGCCTTTGCACAGGCCCGCGGCCCTTCTGGCGTGCCAGCCTCACCACCCGAGCGACAGGCGCCCCTAGCCGCGTAGGACGAACAGCTCTTTCTCGACTGGGCGCAACTTTCCGGCGCGCTCGCGCCGGAGCACCCGGCGGCGCGGCGCGTCGTGACAACGCACGGCGATGTCCACCCGGGCAACGTGTTGCAGTCTGGCCTCGTCGTCGACTTTGAGAACAGCTGCGTCTGCAGCGCGATCTATGACCTTGCCTTTGTTGTCAACTCTGAGGCGCGCAGCGCCCGCATGAAGAGGCCTCCTGTTAGTAGTAGCTCTACAAAAGGAGCTAACACCCATAACCGACGCCAGGCTACTAAGCGGGGCGAATGTATGGGGGCCTAATCACCGCAGGTGCCCAGCTTCGTGACGGGCGAATCCGAGGCGGCGGCTGCGCGCGCCTTTGTGGAGGGCTACCTCGCGGCGGGCGGGTGGGAAGCGGCGGGCTGGGCGGCGGAGGCGGCCGTCGACCTCTTGCTGACCGACTGCATGCTATACGGCTTTTTGCTCAAGGAGTGCGGCAGCCTCTTCTGGACCAACTTTTTCGATGGCGAGCGCACAGACGCGGCGAGCGCGAGAGCGCACCTGCAGGCGTGCGAGCGCTTCGCGGCGGGCGTGCGCGCCGGCGGGGCGGCGGCGCACCGCGCCGTTGCGCGGGGTGGAGGGCCCGAGTGGGAGGGCAAGGCATGGCCGTGCCGGCGCGTGTGCGACGAGGCGGCGCCTGTGTGCGGTGACCAGTGGCTCTAAAGCCGTAGCAATATGCCGGGAACGCTTAAAAAGTGGGTGCTCTCTCACTACCATTTTGGAGTAGATCGCGGGCGCCGTCCCGCTGCCGTGGGTGCGTCCGTGCGTGCGGCGTCTGCAGAGTGCCATGTGCCGAGCTGGCCGTGACACAGCGTTTTGGATTTGGTCCGTCTCCGACCATTCTGCACACAGACATCAGACTTTTGCAACTAGTCTCTTCTTTCTTCACTAGATCTTACAACATTCGCTGTGCCGGACATCACGAGAGCACCTCGAGGGTCGTCGAGAACTCCTCCTCGACGAGGGCCGCGCACTGGACCTCCTGGCCGTGCAGGAAGCCAAACGTGGAGTGCACGTACCCGACGATTGTCTCGCGACTATAGCCGGCGGCCGCCGCGGCGGGCATCTCCTCCCAGTGGTTGGACGGCCACGGCCCGTTCCGGACGGCGAGGAAGAGGCAGCAGGCGGCGAGCAAGCGCGGGTGGAGCCGCAAGGTCGCGTACTGCATTGCGGCGCAGAGCAGGACCTGGACGGCAAGCGAGAGGACCTGGCGGCGGCGGCGGCGACGACGAGGGTGAGCTTCTGGGAGCCATCTTGGAGCCTGGTCGGAGCCTTCTCGGAGCCAGCCGTCGGTCGGGTGGGGCCAACGCAGGAGCGGGGGAGCGGGCGAGGGGGAACGGACGCGGGGGGGGACAGGGGGGGGGGGGGGGGCTGCAAGGTGCGGCGGCAAGGGGGCGGCGCGGGCGAGAGGACCTTGTCGGGCGGCGGTGTGCCGCAGAGGCAGAAGGTGACGATCCACTCGAGGGCCATCCGGTGCGCGTGGAGGCCGGCGGCGGCGTGGTCGACGCCTACGGCGCCGACGCGGTGCAGCCTCTTGCGCGGCTTCTGCTTGCGCGTGAGGCCGGCAGCGCGGTTTGCGCCGAGCAGCATCCGGTTCTCGAGCTCGTAGATCTCGCCCCGCTGAAAAGCGCCGTCGGTCCAGTAGACAACGTCGCCTTTTGAGCAGGAGCGGCCCTCTCACTAGCTGGCTGGTGGCGGGCAATCAATCCTTGGACGGCGCTGCCGACGCTGGACAGCCGTTGCGCGTACTCGTCGCCGTCCTGCGGCGGCAGCTTGCACGAACCGCTGCAAGAGAGCAGCAGCGCGACGGCCCCGACCATCTGCAGCGAGTCCTTAGTCACCTGCGGGCGAGTCGACGTGTCTGCAAAGGCCGAAGTGTCTCTGAAGTGTCGCCAAAGTGTCGCCAAAAGTGTCTCTGAAGTGTCTCCGAAATGTCTCCGAAGTGTCTCCGAAGTGTCGTCGAAGTGTCTCTGGCAGCGCCGCCTCCTCAGTGGCGAGAACTCGGTCCACGTGGTAGACGGCGAGCAGGAGGATCGACTCCTGCGCAGAGAGATAGGGGGCGAGGGATGCCTCGACATCGCGACCGAGGACATGTCTGGGAAACCCCTCTCCAGCGGCGCGCCGGCAGCCCGAGCTCCTCGCGCAGCTCAAACAGCCACGCGCACCTACGCCGGCGTTTCCGAGAAGGTTCCAAGGAGGTTCTTGGCAGCCCTTCGTACAGCCTCACGCAGAAGCTTGTGCGCGCAGGATCTTGCGCATTAGAGGGAGGTCGCGGTTCGGCTGCCTGGGCGCGTACTGCGGCGAGAAAGCAGACCGCCGCCGCCGCAGCTGCGCCATCCACGCAAGCACCCCCTCACCGCCCCCGCCATCCTCCCTGCCCCCGCCCCCGCCGCCCCCGCCGCCCCCGCCGCCCCCGCCGCCCCCGCCGCCCCCGCCGGCCTCGTCGGCAAAGGCGAACAGGTCAGGAGGCACCTCGTCGCAGGCAGAGGCGCCGCCCGCGCCGCCCGCGCCGCCCGGCGGGCACACAGGGAGCCGCAGGGGCGACCCCAGCGTCTCGCTGGGCGGCGGCGCGCCGGTGGCCATCGGCGTGGGGAGAGGCGACGGCGATGCGGTCGCCGAGTGCGGCCGGCGTAACAAAGCCGAGGACACGTCCATGTGCACGTCCATCGACACGTCCGCGGCGCGCCCGGCAGTGTCCACGCCTGACGCCGGTGGCAACCACTGCTGGGCGATGGGCCGTCGATGCACTGCGGTGGAGAGAGCGGCGCGGCTCCGCCGGCTTGCGACGACCCGCTGCTGTGCAGGACTCCAGCCCGGCCTCCCTCCGCCCCCGAGCCGGCAGAGGCCCCGGCGGCGGCGGCGGCGGCGGCGGCGGCGGCGTCCGCTTCCTCGCTCACCACCCCCTCGAGCGTCGCGTTGAAACGGAGGTCGACGACGAGCCGCGCGCCTGCGCAAACGGCTCCGAGAAAGGTCGTGGAAAGGCCCTGGAAGGTGACGGGGCGGAGCGGCCTCGCAGAGCCAACCGCTGCCCGTCGCCGTCGCCGTCGCCGCAGCCGCAGCCGCAGCCGCGGCGGTCGCCAGCCATGCCTCGAGCGGCCGCCGCAAGTGCGCTGCGGGAGGAGGGACCGCCGGGAGCCACTGCGCGCCTGAAGGGTGCGAGAAGGGTGCGAGAGGGGTGCGAGAAGGGTCCGAGAGGGGTGCGAGAAGGGTCCGAGAAGCTTCCGAGAAGCTTCCGAGAAGGGTGCGAGAAGGGTGCGAGAAGGGTGCGAGAAGGGTGCGAGAAGGGCTGCTGGGAGGAGGCGCGGGCCACTGCGCGCCCGCGGCGTAAAGGGCGGAGAACAAGTCTCGCAGCCGCGCCGGCGTGACGCCTGGAGGAGCGGGAGAGGGAGCGGGGCGAGTGGAGGGCGACGCGCGTGCGTTGTGGACCGCGAGGGCGGCAACGCAACGCACAGGAGGAGAGCGGCAACGCACAAGCGAGTGCGTGGCTGCTCGGGGGCTAGGGAGGGGGTCCGGGGCGCAGCCGCCGTTGGAGCGCAGGTCGAGAGACGCGAGCGAAGAGGAGGAGAGCGCGGAGAGGACGACGGCGGCGGACGCGTCGTCGCCGAGCGCCTAGTCCCGTCCTGCCTCGACTCACCTCGGGTGCCCTCGGCTGATTGGGTGCCGCGCCGTCGCCAAGCGACGTTGTGTGCGAGCCGCTAGATGCGGAGGGCGCCTATACATTGTATATGTATATCGGGCCGGCAGCTAAGTGAGTCCTCCAGCGGTTAGAAGTTGGGGGG